TAAATACCACACAGAAGTTGACCACACAGACTTTATATGTAGATTTAGTAGGTTATGGTGTCATAACCACTTTATCAATGTTTATGACCAACGCAGATCGCATTTAGACTCACACCGGTGACGCACATCCTTTACAATCCGTGAAGTGCTTGGACTGGGAACTAGATTATTACTCTAATACTCGTGACTGGCCGCGAGTAATCACACTACTGTAACGGCGTTACCAATCAGCGCCGCAGAAGCTGCTATATAGGAGCGCACGCGAGGCTCACTGGACAGCAGGACGCACGAGACCGAAGACCGCAGAGGCTGCAGAGCGAGCGCGCGGAGAGCTTCGGAGACATTTGGCGGGAGCCCGACACAGCGCTTTGACGCACGCACGCACGCACTATGGACTACTGTTGAGCTCAGAGAAAAGACGCACAGTACAGCCGCTGCTCGCGCCTCAAAAACGTACTCGTTTGTGTTTTTGTTCTGAAGTTGATTATCGGCCGTTATTTTAATACAACTCTACGTCTAAGTGAATCTAAAAGCAGGTCTGGCATCATGAAGTTGCTGCTTTTACCTGTTTTAATGGCTTTTTTCGCCGTCGCCCAAGTTTTCTGCGAGGAAAACGACCCAAAAGAAGACGCTGACTACTGGACGAGCAGTAATCAGATTCAGGTAGTCCACAGCACGGCTTTATTTAGCCCATATTCTAGAGTTAGTCTGTCATAAGTGGCATTTATTACTAACTAATGTGTTCTTGTCAGAGGCAAAAGCAGCAGTTGTTTCTTTTATTCTGGAGGAAAGTTGCAGCCTACTACTGTCAGCTTGTTTAACCCACATATGAAAGAGCAAAAATGTAAGTGTGTGTGATAAAAGTAAAAAATATGTTAGTTAATAGTTAAGCCTTAAATGATACCGTTTGCTACTAACATACATCATAGATCTGTCAACAGCTTTGCCTTTCTCTACAGAGTTGAACAATAACCCATAATGATGAGATAATAAGGCGTGTTGGTAGTATTACAATTCATTGCAATATTATCGGAATCGCAATATACAAATCACGTAAGCTGCAATATGTTTAACAGCATTATAGGCTAATGAAGTACCCTGCAGAGGTGGTACAGACCCAACAAATGTCACATCATCATGATTTCATTAGGGTTTGTTTTTTTTGTGAAAATGAAATCTGTGATGACAAAATGATCATTCCCAATAATCGTGAATCATACTACAACCGCAATATCTGTCTAAATAATCACAGTATGAAGCCCCTAATAAGTATGTTATAATATCAGCTCCTTAGAAACATTCATCCAGATGTTTTCGGACTCTTTAAGATGTCATTCATTGCTCTCTCCATTAAACACAAGTTTGAATGATTCATTAGTACAAACAGATTAGGCTAGACTATTAACTAGGGATGCACGATATGGATTTTTTTATGCTGATACGATAATTTATCGTCTTTATCACCGAAAAGACAACCGATAACATTTTTGCATTTTAAAAAGAAGTTCATAACCTGTAGATTTGATAAACTTTAGGTAAAGAAAGGCTGAGATGTAGTGAGCAAAAATGGATTTAATATTCCATATCTGTTCTAACATCACTATTGTTAACAAACAACAGTTCTGACTCATCAAATGTTCATTTCTTCTTTTTAGTAAACTTCACAAACATATTTTGGTTTTCATAGACCATAAAGCCTATGAATCATTTTGCATAAGAATCCAAAATAAATTATTATTACTTATTTCATTATCAGAATAATACAAATATAAACGTCCCACTATCAGCTGATCAGATTTATCTGCCCTGATCATCATTGTGCATCCCTGCCACTAACATATGCACAGTGTCGCACTTTGCCGCCACGTCAGCTGACACCAGTTCCCTCTGAACAGCAGTCCAACCTGCTAGCAGACTGCTTCCAGTTCCTGGGCTTCCTCAGAATCAGAATCAGAAATACTTTAATAATCCCCGTGGGGAAATTACTTTGAAAGGTGGGTACAAGAAACAGTCCTCAATCCAGAAACCAGCAGTGTGAGATAATTGTTCTCAGCTGTTCTCAGCGCAGGTTCATGAATCTTCCCAGAGGAGTGCCAGTGCAGGGACATGCAGCATATAGCAAAGGCAAATTCATTAGCAGGATATCAATGAAATATTCTACACTTGTTTCCAAAGAAAATAAGAAATAAGGACTCTTAAGGACACGAAGATGGAGAGTGTTGCAGTGGTTGGAGCAGCCAGCAGGGGGAAATGAAATGAAGCCTTAAGTGCTCACTGTGCTCGGGCTTGGAGACCATCTCCATTGACATGATACTCACGTCCTGTGTTTGACATTGGCAGTTGGAAACGTGCCAGTAGCCTAAACTCTACTGTAGGCTGGGGCCCATTCTGCAGATGAATGAGGCTACAATAAATCATTACAGCCCAGTGTGCGAGACATTAGTGGCCCCCAGGTCCACGTCTCAGACTAATGCATCCTGGGATGGAAATAGAAACATTAACATAATGAAAGTTCAAAATTCAAGCCTTATATGGATTATTACTCAGTGTAGCTTGTGTGTGTGTGTGTGTGTGTGTGCGTGTGTGAGGGCTGGTTTATACTAAATGTATATATGAATGTTATACCCTACTACAATCGACAAATTAAGATGTATTCAGGAAATGTTCTTTTTTTAGCAGTTATTGCCTGATTTTCCCTAAAATGTTGGGGATCTATGCAGTCATACTTGTCTCTACAAACACTGATTGAGATCCCCCCCCTCCCCCCTCAGGACGGCTGGCTCTCCAACGACCCATTCAGAGAAATCCTCCTGAGGATGACGAGAAAGCCGCGGCCGCATCAGTTCATCGGCCTGATGGGGAAACGCTCCATGGGTGAGAGCTCCTTCTCGGCACCACGCACAGCTTTTCTCTCCCTCCGCAGATCTGTTTTTAAAACCCCTCTCTTTCCTCCCACAGCAAACGCACAGATCACCCACAAAAGTAAGTATCATATTAGTGTAGTATGGATTTACACTTGGTTGGTTGACATTTTCCCAGCCTGTAGCTATCCCTCCTTTAACTTGTAAGAGCCTATTAATGCCAGGTCATTCTTCATAGCAGCAAAATCGCTTGGATAAATACACAACTTAGGCAAACAAGGGATTGTCAGTCTTTTTTTTTTTTGGCCTTTTATGCCTTTATTTGATAGAGATAGCTGGAGAGACAGAAAGGGTGGTCAGAGAGAGAACAGGAGGGGACGAGCATGCAGCCAACAGGGCCGCAAGGTCGGAGTCTGAACCCGGGCCCTCTATCGACTGAGCTAACCGGGCGCCCAATTGTCAGTTTTGTTAATGTTACATTCACTTGTTATTAAATTTTCCTCAAAAGTCAGGGGGATCTGAATGCATAATAATATCTGTGCTTTTATGGGTTTAAAAAGTTCTCCAATGCCTCTGCCAGTCCATGAGGCCCCCCCCTCACCGCCCAGAGACCAAAAAGAACATATAAAATTCATATAAAACGTGTAGAATGTACTCTTTGAATGTAATCTTTCTAGAAGGAATAGGGAGAACATGACATCAGTGTCCTCGGTGGTAGCTACGCCCCTGCTTCTGTGTCTCACACTTAACATAAACCCTCTATACACACACTGAATGCTGTAAAGTGCTTTGCCACAAAGCTGCTCTGTATCATGATACTAAAACTCTCTGATTTCTATGCAGATTGCCTCATATAGGAGAAGAGCCACATCTGTCAACATCAGACGCAGGTTGTTGTGTGACTGACATTAGCGGCAGTAAAAAGCATGGAGCCAGCAGGTGTTTTAGGGGGCGCGTGGCATATTTATCCCAGAATGTTGCAATAAACTACATTAAAGGAGTGATGGGTTGAGCCATTTGGTTTTCGACGCTCCGTTCCAAAATCACAGAACAGTGAAGCACAATGGGGAAGAAAGCAAATCCTCTCATGTTTTGCCCACAGTCTTGTTAATGGAGTTTATGCCAGCGGTTAAGAAGGAGTGGATGAGCACACCGTCTCACAGGGTTTAATTCATTGATTTTGTACATTTTTTGCTTTTCTTTTGAACACCGGACCACATTAATTTGTCAGTAAAGAGGGTGGTCTGGAATCTGTGTGTGACAAAGAGGAAAGAGATAAGGAGCAATGGAAAAGGACTGAGGAGGAGGGGATTTTCCCTTTTCTCTGTCAGGTTTTTTTTTTGGTCTAAATTAGTCACCCACTCAGTGATGCAACACAGCGCAAGTAAGTATACATCTAATTTATTCCTCTTATGGAGGCATGGCTAGAAGTCAGTCATCATTAGGGGAGAGGGAGAGTGCTGGGATCAATGCCCCAAGGACATGTGAGAGTTAAATTGGATTGTTTACGCTTGTGATGGATAGTGGTTGCTCCGCGTTTCTCCCTTTACTCTGAACCAGAATGTATTCTGCCAATACACTCTCACACAAAGGGACAAATCAGTGGAGAGACAAGAGTCAGCTTCCTCCACTTTTTTATATATGTAGGATCAACTCTCATCAGACTAATGCAAATATTGATGTTTGTAATGTAAGATATCCCCCCTGGGCTCACTATAGTTTTATAACCCCCCAATCCAATATACACCCACTCCCCCTCCTCATGATCACATTAAAGTCCATTACTGTGATTGACAGGTGCCCCAGTCAGTCTCCATGCAACTGTCTGTCACATCTGCAGGGTTCCCACTCTTTAAGAAATCATTTTCCAGGACCTTTTTCAGGAGTTTTTATTGTAGGGGGTCAGTGTTTATGGGGCACTCCACGTTAGCTCACTTGTGTGACGCACTTGGCCGATTTTTCCGCTGCGGTCTCTGGTGAATTGACTACAGAGTTTTCCACTCATTGTAACATTCATTTGGCCATAAGTAACAGTTTACATTATCAAGTAGAATTTATCTTGGTTTACAGATCTGATTTTTAATTTTTTTAATCAATTTCCGGGTTTTCCAGGACGAGTGGGAACCCTGACCACTGCAAACACAGGTCCCAGTGTCTTACTGAGTTAAGTTTGGTTCCACAGAGCTGAGGTTAAAGCAGTGAAATGTGTCTCTATCAGGGCCATAGCTACCACGAAGGACACCATGGTCACATCCACACTATACTGTCAGGGGACATCGTACTGAGAAAGAGTATATTCTGCACTCACACACAAAGATGTGAGAAGAAAAAGATTTGTGATGCACAAAATTAGGTTTATTTCTTCAGGCTTGAGATGAATCTACTTTTTGTTCTTGTGAAAAATGACCTCTTAGGCTTGATCAGGAATAATGACTTGCTGGTTAAAGTGGTCACAGCCTGCACGATACACATCCCTTCCAGAGCTTCGTTTTAATGAGTCACAAGCCAAAAAGCTTAAGAAACACCGGACTAAATGTCTTAAAATGTGAGGTTTTTTTTAATATGATAAACAAATATGCAGTAGGAAACTTTCTGTCATATTTGCTAAAACTTTCACTATATCCTGACAGTAGTACATGTGACAGATACTCTGTAAAAAAATCAGGTTCCTCTGGTTCCTCCTAGTGCTCCTAATGGTATTTGTAATAATCCACTGGGCCTGAACAAAAACAACCAATCAGAACGGAGAAAGATAGAACGATGCTTTGTGTGGGAGGCTTGAAGATAGTTGATTGTTGAGTCTCAATCCCACAGTGCCAAATCGTCTGTATTTGACACCCTGGAAATGGGAACAGTCAACTAACTATTCTCACCGCTGATTGGTTGTTTTCATATTATCTGTCTCATGTTCTACTGTCAGGATATAGTTAAAGTTTAGGAAAATATGACAAAAAATATTTTTATAAAAATGACCTACTGCAGCTTTACATATAAATGTGTGTATATCTTCACCAGGGAGTCAATTATAGTAAGAAAAAGCAATCAGTAAAATCTGTTCAGACCATTCAACAGTAGCTTTTGTCTGAGAGGTTGCTACGGCACTGTTTGCAGTTAGCTACTACAAACTGGTCTCAATTTAAAATATGTTTTCTTTTAAGGGCATAAAGTCAACTCCTTTGTCGGACTGATGGGGAAAAGAAGCCAAGAGGAGCCAGGTGAGCTCAATTCAAGTTAAGCTGCACCTCATGGTTCTCACTTTATTTCTGAAAGTAATAAAAGGGCAAAATGTGTGCTTAAGCTAACGAGCTGTCTCCCTCTGCAGAGCCCTATGAGTGGAGCACAATACAGACGTACGACAAGCGCCGCTGAGCAATCACCTCCTCTCCTGCCTGCTTCTCATCTAGCCATTCCTCATCCACGGGAGGGGTGCCCGACGCTGCTTTTGTTTTCTCAGAAACTGTGTGTAGCTGTTAGTCAAATAAAATGATTCTGTTTCCACATTGTAGTGATGTAGCAGTGCTGTATCTGTGCCAGTTTCATTCGTCCCAGCAGAAGGTGGATCAGGAGGGGGAATGGTGTCATTATCAATGTTAGTGTTTTCTGTGAGCGTTTTCCACCATCTGCCGTGCTACAAAAGACGAACTGTTGTTGTGGACCATCAATGCAAAGCTATACCCTGGGGTATGCTGAAAATTGCACTGCCAAAGTCTCTGTATAGTGCCTCATAACTGTTTAATTGCAACTGATTGTTCTATAAATAACACACTGGTTCTCCTTTTGACTTTCAACTGACTTTAGAAGAGCTGTCATGTTCTCCACCTGCACATATGGTGCAGTATGACAGGATACCTGTGTGTAATATTAAAATTATTTTCTTTACTGGTTCAACTTCAGCTTGCAAGTTGTGAATTCCTTGTGAAAAAAAAAAACCTCGTGGTGTTCAGAGCATCTGAAAAAGTGAGGTAAGAGCGCACTCCGTTGGACAACAGAGGTACTACACACTGACAAACCACTCCAGTTCCAAGAGGTGAATTTATTTTAGCAGCGATTAGTACGAAACTCCAACAATACGGAAAAATCTAGTTAGGCAGATCATGGACAAAAAAACTAAAAATATAATGCAATCCAATAAAACAGAGTTGCAATAAATTATTCACAACTATGAAGCTCACTATGTTCAAATGATCCTCAAGGTTCAATGCTTACCGGTTACTGAATTGCAATATATTGTCAGGCATCCATTTCCTGTAGTTCACATCTCCACACTCCAACTAGGGTTGAGCGAAATACCCTATCGCTCAAGCCTAACTTAAAACTGCAGTAGGTAAGTTATGAAAATAACTTGTCATATTTGCTGAAACTTTCACTATATCCTGACAGTAGCACATGAGACAGATATGTGAAAAAATCAGGTTCCTCTGTCTCCTCCTAGTGCTACTAATGAGACCAACCAATCAGAGCCAAGAAAGATAGCTGATTTTTGAGTCTCATTCTCAGGGATTGAAATAAACACTCCTTGGCACCCTGGGAATGACACTCAGTCAAATGTCTTCAAACTTCCAACCCAAAGTATCTATAACTTTCTTGGCTCCGATTGATTGTTCCCCCCACAGATCATGGTCTGGCCATCATGGTCTACTGTCAGAATATAGTAAAAGTTTCAGCAATTATGACAAAAAGTTATTTTTATGAAAGTTACCTGCAGCTTTAACATGATGTGCCTGTGCCACACACTTGCATAGCCAGTCCTAACCGAACATCTAGTTCCCAGTGAAGAACAGCAGAGGTGTCATTAATCAGCATGAAACCCTAATGCCAGCTTCACTCACTGAGTCACCTCCATTCGTGAGAAACTGTAAGATGTCTTTCACACAAATTGCATAAGATACTAGTCAACAAGCTGGAGCATCAACCTTTTTGGTGTTAACAGCTCTGAATACAGTAATCCGTTAGAGGTTACACCCTAAACCTACATAGAAACATGAGAAAATATATCTCCCAAATAGACATCTAATTTAGATAAGTTGAAGGATCAGTATGAAGCTATTAAAATATATTTATCATCATGTCTACGGTCATTTATGAGGCCACCATATCTAAAAGGGTAACCTTACATGGTTCTGTAACATGACAAGATGGATGTGGCGTTCAAGGCCCATTGTTTTTTAGATTGGTTACTGATCATTTTTGTGCCTTTGAAAATAAAATATTGACACAACAAGGAAAGCAGTGTAACAGCATGTAATCCATGACACTAAAGCTCAGGCTCAGAATGTTTTAGTTGGCTGAGGCTTCACAGACATGCCCCTCAAATATATATTAATATATCATAGTGCCCAAAAGATGATGGTGTTCACTGTGATGGATCAGCTTTCTCAAACAACTTTCAAATCCCTGCAAGTTCATTTTCATCTCTGAGTCATGAAATTAACTTTAACTAATGGCTGCCTGGAAAGTAGGGAACACAACTAGTAACTAATTGTGTGCTTTGTAAAATGGCTGAGTAAGTGTTAGCTGGTCTTTGTCAGACGTTGATGATTTAGCTGTAAAAGGGTGACTGATTTGAAGTGTGTTCTGACAGTAGTACATAAAACAGATAATCTGTGAAAAAATCAAGTTCCTCTGGCTCCTCCTAGTGCTCCTAATGGTATTTGCAAAAATCTACTGGGCTGCAACGAAAACAACCAATCAGAGCCAAGAAAGAAATAAAGACGCTTTGGGTTGGAAGTTTGAAGATAGTCGATTGTTGAGTCTTATTTCCAGGGTCCCAGAGCTTCTGTATTTGACGACACGGGAAGGAGACTCAACAATCACCTATCTTTCTTTGCATTGATTGGTTGTTTTCATCCAGGCCCGGAAGATTCTTGCAAATACCATTAGCAGCACTAGGAGGAGACAGAGGAACCTGATTGTTTCACAGATTATCTGGCTAAAATAAGGTTTTTTACTGCAGGCAATACAGCGACTATGGATAAGTACCTCATACAACCCCACTTCACAAAACCTCAACTATTTTTAATCTGAGTTGAACAAAGTAAAGTATGACACAGAATGTTTTAAGAAGACCAACATATTGTTGACTGACACACACACAGCTGTTCCAGAGCTGCTCATTGATCTTTATCAGGTTTGTAGATACACAGGGTCCGAGCCGATGGGTCGGTGGCGTTGATCCATCGTGGCATCCAGTAATGGGAGAGCCACTTAGCCCGGCCTGGGTAGTGCTTCTCAAACACCTGTCTGAAGTAGTAGGACTCTTTGGTGCATGGAGGGTTGTGAGGGAATGTCTTACAAGCCTTCTCCATCTGGTCATCATTCACCTGAGAGAAGATAGAGGCCAGGTCAGACAATGAAGGACCACAGAGGTGTTTCAGTGTCCCTTCAAATATACTGGAATACATGTGTTGGACTGAGATATGTAAGGAATTCTTATTTTTCTACCAAAGGATTGCATTTTTGGCAGCTGCAAAACATATTTCAAAACTCATGAAACACGGCACAAAATTTACCTGTGGCGAAAATGTACATGTATGTAAGATAGAGGTCTTACACCTGGGCATGGTAAAATGGCTCGACAGTGCCCTCTAAATGTAGCCCCGATGCACGTTTCATGTTATGTATGAAAATCAATACACACACGTACACAGACAGACAAACAAAAAGGCCACCTGGACCCAACCCTGAACTCAACAGTAAGTCGTAGTAAGACATTTTTAATTAAGTAGTAATTTTTGGCGATTTTCACACACTGTGAACAAACTCCTCATAGAGAACTGATCAGGAATGAGACCTGTGTGATGTTACACTTTGTTAAAAAACATTAACTCAGTTCAGTCTCCTTGCTCGTTGTTCTGACACATTCGAATCAGTACCGCTTTTCCGTTATTGTTTAACAGGCGGCTGTTCAAATATATATATTTAAATTATTGAATTTTTTTTACAGGTCTTGGTTCTGCAGTAACACGTACCATAGACTCTAGGTGGTCCTGCAAACAGGTGTACCAGGACTTCTTCTCAGACATCATACCGTCACTGAAGGCCTCTTTGCGCCTCCACAGGATCTCATCAGGGATCAAGTTGAGACCTTTGAAGGAGTCCCTCAGAAGATGCTTTTCAACGCCGTTCTGCTCACACATGACATTCAACACTATCATTACAAAGCCACGCTAAAACACCGCCTCCAAACATCCCGTCATTTTATGGACAGTGAAATTAATGCAACAGCTGTACACATCCACTGACCTTAGGAACCCTCATCTCCTCAGGCAGAGAAAGGTAGTACGCTGTGAATCTGTGGTCCAGGAAAGGCACTCTGAGTTCCAGACTGGAGGATTAAAAAAAAGGAACATCAGAGCAACAACTAAAGACCAGAATTCATCAAATGATTAGGGGGTGTAAGAAAGTATATAATATCACATCGTAATATTTCGGTTTTGTGAGATATATATAATTATCAAAAATACTGTATCAATAGCAGTGATATTAACTTTTTATTTATTTTTTTTAAATCATAATATATCACCGTTTACAGTATCGCAATATATTGAATCGTAACCCCTGTATCGTGATATATGTATCACGATACAGGGGTTACGATACGTTATGACGTATCGCCAGATTTTTGCCGATGCAAACATACGCTGAAAGTGAAGAGGCAGGATGATTGCAGGACTCCCTATATGTTATTCATCCACTGGCACTGTATAAAATGGTTAATAGCTCCATTACTATCAATTATTAGTGTTCATCATTGGGTGCCTTTATTTTTAATTGATTTGCTCATATAAAAAGCAATATTAACCTTACTGATTTGGTGGCATTCATTTCTGCAGATCTCCAGCCTCATTATTGAGGTTTAATTAATCACATTTTGCTCCAATTATAATGCATTATTCATTTCACCACTGATGCTCCTCAGTCATGTTGCTGTTGACCATTTTATCTTTCTCCTCTCATAAAGGACTTACCTTTTAGTGGTAAAAAGATCTGAACACCTTTCAGACTACTGAAAATTAACATTCCTGAGGGAATGAGCACAATATTAATTACTTAGTACAATTTCTATTGCAAGCCCAATAATGCATCGTTTTTCTCCCCAATTAAATAACTGATTCACGAAACAAAAGTACAAAAACTAGAATTACTGTTCCGTGGTTGTATGCCTCTGCGATACAGGAAAGATGCAGTTTACATCCATGTTTGTTCAGACTCATAATATACATTGCAATACTGGAAGTTATCACTATATTGATACTATATATGTATGATTGCAGTAAATATACACTACACACGTATTCGATAACTATGTACAGATGGAGTTTTACAAAGTGTAGTACTAAATGTGCTGCTTCTGCGTTTCGCTGGCATTTTTAGGATACATTATATGAATATATGAGAAAGATGAATCTGTGTAAAAGTAAAGTGACAGTGTATACAGAAGAGTTGTACCATGTGTATGTATCAGTCCTGATAATAGCAGCACATATGGTTGATGGGCGTTTTAGGATCACAGAAGTCCTATTAAGAACTATTTACCATTTAGTCCTATCTTGTCCCAGTATGCACAGTTACATTGTGTGGCTGGAAATTCAGCCTCATTTTTATTTCCAAAATACTTTGATAAGGAAAAAAAAAAAAAAAACATTTCTGTTCAGGTTCAAGCTCATATTAATACATTGAATCAGGTGCTGCCATTAACCTGAGTGCAGGCAAGCATCAAGTTCAACACACAAAGTCAGTAGCCTTCCTTGGTCAGACAAATGGGACACATTAAATATTGAAATCAAACTCGTTCTTTCATTTCCTGTTTTTGATTTGAGCATAAATGCGAAAAAAAGCAGTTATTTGTTTTTCTGTGTTGGATTCATAAATATAGAACACCACCCAGATTTTGGAATCTATATCGAATATAAAAAGAGGGAATGATACACGGATTCATGTCTTTTGCTGGTTTTAGTTTCACGGACACACTGCAGTGTGTACCCAGCCTGAATTCTTTAGTGAGGGCAGAGGTGAAGTGAAAGATGATACCCGTGTGCAGCAGTTGTGCGATCAGCACGGAGGACATCAAATAGGTAGAGTTCCTTCATCAGACGAACACTGTCCTCTGCAGCTGCTTTGGGAGATGGAGCCTGGACAGGGAACACAGTTCTGTTAGCACATATGCTTCAAGACCCCCTTTACATTCTTAACACGTTCAGACAGGCGGTCTCATGTCACTCTGTAAATGACACAACAGCAATCTCACTAGCTCAGACCTATTTGAGCTCAGTAAACAGTTTCCTAATGAGTTTATGGTCTCAGTCTCCAGTTTCAGTTTCTTCCATACAGCATGATGTTCATTCAGTAAATAGATGTCCCATTTTAGAGTAAATAGCACCATAAAGCAGGGTATGCTTATAGTGAGTCCGTCCAGCTCAACGCACAAAACTCAGATCAAACTGTCAAACTAGGCAGTGCTGATCAAATATGGATCCAGATTCTGTTACTGTGTTGGCTATTTCTCACCAAAAATCATTTGAGAAACATATTTTAGTGTACTGTTTACCTGGAATACGAGATTGTGTGTGAACAGGCGAGCCGCCATTGTTTCCTGTTATAGACGAGTCGAAACTGTGCAGCCAATGAGAGCAACTGCAGGGGTATATCTACTGCAGGTAATGTACTGACTGTGGAGAAGTACCTCATACAACCCCACTTCAAAAAACCCAAACTATCCATTTAAAGCTCCAGTTAGTAACTTTGAAAATATAGTTTTGTCATTATTGCTGACTGTCCTGACACTAGTACATGAGACAGCCGTTGGGTCTGTCTTACTGTCATGGCGATGGCCATAACACCAAACTCAAGCCTTCAAAACAGTACTACACAAACCAATGGGTGACATTTACACTTGGTTCTGACAGTAGTACATGAGACAGATAAACTGAACAAATCAGGTTCCTCTGGCTCCTCCGGCTCCTCCTAGACCACCAGGTCTAAACGAAAACAACCGATCTGAGAAAGATAGAAAGACACGTTGGGCTGGTGTTTTGAAGATAGTTGATTGTTGAGTCCCAAAAGCGTCTGTATTTGACAACCTGGGAATGTACTACTGTCTCATGTACTACTGTCAGGATATAGTAAACGTTTCAACAAATATGACAAAAAGTTATTTTTTATAAAACTTTTATACTGCAGCTTTAATAAATAGGGATACCTACACTATCAGAGTGAGATTCACACCAACTGTCTAAAACACAATTAGGTATTGTCTCTGGTTTGGCCAACACAACATTTATTAAAAACAAAATCTTGGGTCGTCCTAGTGCCCCAGTAGTCTAGGAACACACATGTAACAGCTACGCCCATCTCACCAAAGACCCTGTGCTGCATGTCACCCTTCTCTCTCCCTCTCCCCCTCTCCCTGTTTCTCCTCAGTGTAAGCTTTCAAATAGAGACAAACTTCTACAGACTAACTTCAGCCACTGGAGGTCAGCAAACACAAGGTTTTCACCCACAGTTACTGACTCTGCTGTTCTACATGACTACGGAGTTTAGTTGGTCACATGGTGTCACATATTGTAACTTATGCTGCAATCACGTGCTCCTCATATGGTCTCATTTCCCATATTGGGAAGGACATCGTGCTTGAAGTCATACTGTGGAAACAACATGGAGACTACAGAGAGTATGTGCTGCTGAATTATGGTAAATGGACTGCACTTGTATAGCACCTTCCTAGTCTTCCAGCCACTCAAAGTGCTGTACACTACATGCCACATTCACCCTTTCACAAACAGTCATGAATTCAGAGATGGCAGAGGCATCACAAACAGAAACTAATTCATTCATTTACATTCACACACTGATACAGGCATCAGGAGCAATTTGGGGTTCAGTATCTTGCTTAAGGACATTGCAGCAGAAGGAGCCAGGCATTTAACTGCTAACTTTCTGATTAATGGATGACCCGCTCTACCTCCTGAGTCAGTCCTGAGCCCAGCAAAACTAGCTTGGGCTACTATAGAAACATGGCGGTTCAACATTGTGGACCCGCTCCCTCTGTAGGAAAAAACAAAACAAAACCTGGAGTGTTTCAGTGTAGAAATAAGCAGGATCGCGTATGATGGTTACTGATTTAAATAACAGAAGCCGTCTGACTGTGGGTGTGTTTAATGACACTTAATTGCATGCACGTTTCCTCCTCCATCCTCACGTGGAAACAAGAAGGAAAGGAGGAATGAGGAAATATGTTTTTAGAGAATTGAGACATCCTTTTCTTATGTCACGTGAAGCGAAGGCTGAATTATTTAGAAGTTTCTCCCCATTAAGAGACGCTCTGCGCATTTACGCACAAGGTATTTTACACCTCCAGAAGTTCCCACATACAGCAATCTCCTGATAAATCTTGTTTCCAGGAGCAATTTGGGGTTCAGTATTTTGCTCAAGGATACTTCGACACGTGGCACCAGGCGATCGAACCAACAACCTTCTGATTAGGGGACGAACCGCTCTGCCTCTGAGCCACAGCACAGTTTTTAAGTTTTGCTGCTTAATGATATTTGCTTCAGTGACTTTGAAACACGTCGAAATGTTTAAAATGACTGAAAGCATCCTCTCTAATCATTATAGTCTATTACCAGCTGCATCAATATAACACAGAATCAATAAAGAAATCACCTGTAACCTGCGCTATACATATTCACACACCGATGCACAGCATCGGGAGCTTTGGGGTTCGTATCTTCTCAGGATTACTGTCTGACACGTGGCAGGAGGAGGAACCAACAACATTCTTAGTGGGCAACCCGCTCTTCCTCTCAGCCACAGCCACTGAGGTGATGCAGATGGCAGATATACAGTGTTATCATGGATGGGCAGATAATCCCTCCCCACATGTCCACCACATTGGGCGGCTGTGGCTCAGAG